TATAGGCCGCGGCTTAGAAAGGCCTTCTTTGAAGGCGCTGGAGCTAGTGTCTAAACCCTCCGAGAGGGCACAGGTTCGATTCCTCCCATGTCGAAACTTTGTGAGGACAAACGCGGCATAGCTGACCGGCTCAGCGCCAATCCAAGCCAATTCCTTCGGGAACGCCTAATAGAATCGCCAAGGCTTCGGCACAGGCCTCCCCGGGACCCATTCACTACTAGTGGGGGGTACTGCACTTGGCGCGTCGGGCAGATCAAATAATGGTCTAAAGCTAGACGTTAAAACCGGGAAGTGAAGCTTGTGGAGGCTCTTCCCCACCTTTACCTCTAGGCCGCGGCTAAGAAAGGCCTTCTTTGAAGGCGCTGGAGCTAGTGTCTAAACCCTCCGAGAGGGCACAGGTTCGATTCCTCCCATGTCGAAACTTTGTGAGGACAAACGCGGCATAGCTGACCGGCTCAGCGCCAATCCAAGCCAATTCCTTCGGGAACGCCTAATAGAATCGCCAAGGCTTCGGCACAGGCCTCCCCGGGACCCATTCACTACTAGTGGGGGGTACTGCACTTGGCGCGTCGGGCAGATCAAATAATGGTCTAAAGCTAGACGTTAAAACCGGGAAGTGAAGCTTGTGGAGGCTCTTCCCCACCTTTACCTCCCCCTTTGCTGCAAGCCTGCTCTTGTTCAATAATGGACTGTAAACCCAGCCAACCAATACTAACACCAGTACGGAGGTTTATTGGAGTCAGCGTAAGGATCATCCAACAGCTCGGAGGCTCCTGCCGGTGCGCGGCCATTCTTCGTCCAGGCCAGGCTGCCTGGCTTGCACGCCGCATGGGCAGCCTCCGTTTCCGGCACCCTCCATTGGAGTGGATGGCAGGAAGCAACGCCACTCGACGCGGTTTCGTGCACAGAGCACGCTGCATCAACACGTTGAGTCCACAGTCAATAGGAGGTCCACTCAGGATCATGACGTTGCTAACAGATCACCTTCTTCATCGATGAACCAGAAGCCGGCACGTTTTAGACTTTCCATCTTCTTCCCCACCCCCCCAACACAGATAGGGTGCACAAACAGCACCTGGTCAACGCATGGGTCCATCCGCTGCACCCATTCTGCCTTTGCAAGATAGCAATTCACGGGGATGTACTGATAGTGGGCGGGCAGGTACGTTCGGAAAACCGGGATTTGCTCCAGCAGTCCAGAGTCTTTCAGCTGGAAAGCGGGGGAAGTTTTATTTTTTGTTTTCTGTTGTAAATCGTTTGGTAAACGACACGTTGCTCACGTTTCGGTGGTGCCAGTAGCAGCTGCACAACGATGAACATACACGAAATTTGTCACTAATCTGCACCATTCCACCCTGCGCTGCTGTGCCCAGCTGGGTCATGGTTTCCGAGACCGATTTCCAGGCCCGGGCAAAGGTGATGGCAGCTGGTGTAGGCTTCATAAAGAACTGTCCCGTATTGACTGCACCCAAGTAAGGGATATAAAAGTAATCAAAAAGTGCGACGACACAGATGCCCATCCCCCAAACACGTGTTTTGCGTGCCTGGGGTGGGCTTGTCACGCTGAAATGCAGCGTCGGCCTGTGACTCGGCCAAGAAGTTGTGATAGCTGGCCAGTACATCCTTTGGAGAATATGCAACGTCCAGATCTGCAAAAATGACATGATATTAGATAGCACAGAAACATGCAATCGTGGCGAGCGTCACCGATCACACCTGCCATCATTACAACATAGCCGTGCTCCAGACCATGAAGAAGCACGGCAGGTTTTAACCAAACTGCGGCAAGCCATTCCTTGTCGCTTATATCCTTTCCAAACCCGGAACTTGTACCCGAATCTGAAACCTGCGCCACCAAGCCAGACACATCCGCACAGGGGAGATGGAAGTCATCACACACGTTCCCCATGTAGTACTGCAGTGGCAGCATGGAAGTGGAAGGTGTAAAGTCGTTGTGTGGAGGCACCTCCATCTCGCCGTTTAGAAAGTGAAATGCACCAAACACTCACCATGCCTCGCTTCACTCGCAATCGTCGCCGCTGCTCCCCCAGACGCGACCATCGACTTGCATGTACTTCAGACCTCCGGAATCCACAAAAATCGAGAGTGTTGTAAACCATGGATGGCTTTCAAAACAACCTCCACCTCCACTGCACCGAGATGCACACTTGCCTGCCTCTTTTGCAACCTGACCCATATGGGCCAGGATCTTCTTAGGCTTTGCCAGGGTAGGCCCGCCCAGCGCATTCACCGCATCGAGAAAGGCAACATGTAGCTCCGTTGTCCACACTTTTGACGGGACCATGTTGGAATCCTTCCGAAACCGAGTAAGGCGTGCCGCCACTTGCTTTCTGGTGAGTCATGCACAGAGCTGATTGGAGAACCGCAAAATGTAAAATTGGATGGCAGAAAGTTGCCGCGATTCATGATGTAATGAAGTCTTCTTCGGGTTGTGACCTGCTGGTATACCTGGATGTGGATGTCATCATGGTTGATTGGTCTATTTCACTGTAAACCCTGTTGCAAATGTGGGGATTTTCACGTAAGACATGCAGTTACATACACGATGCCCTTGTTGTGTGTTTTACACACAACAGGCCAGCGTTTGGCATTGCAGGCCGAAATTTGATATTGCAGGCCCTCGATCCCGCGGTGCCTCGAAACTTTTTAGAGACATCGCTCCCCACACACGATGCAATGGCAAATGTTACTGGAACGCGCCTTCTGTCCGGAAACACAGGCTTCATGGTTTTCCGGAACAGGTGACAGTCAATAATGCAATTTCACTCAGTCGCTAGAATGCTGACAATGCTGGCCACCCTGACATGTGCGCAGGCCTGAGACGCATGCAATAGTCAATAGGTGGCGACGTTGCACGGATGAGGTGGCAGGATGCAATGAATATTTGCACAAGTGGGCATGTGACCAAGGAGGCTGGAACGTGTTTATAAGGCCTACCCTGCACGAACATGACCTGGTGCTAGTCCCATGCCGAGACGCAAATGGCTATCCCGGGGCCTCCGAAAATGATTCCGATGGGACATGTACAGGAGGTCGCTTCTTGGAACACTACTGGATGGATAAGGAGCAGGTGCACGCCGTGCTTTCCGAGGCCTTCCATGAGATGTCCTACATGGAATACAACCCATGAGCAGCATACCATTGCCAAATCAGATAACCAAACAGCTGCACCGTGCCGAGGACCGCCCCCACATTTCTCTGTCTCACGCTTCTAGTCTGCTTTGTATACGACGTGTACAACCCATGCCCCCCGCTTCGTTCGCATATACACTCAATACACAAATTCACAGTCGCTGGCGTTTCCACCTAGCACTCAGTGGCGGAGCCCTCGTGGGCTGTTACTGTAAAGGCTGGCCTCCGGGCGCCGCTTATGCTTTAATGCGTATTCGTGCTCGCTGGCATGTCCCACTCTCAGTGCTGTATTGTTTTCCCACCCGCCTTTATCATGTGGCGGGTGGCTGTGTCCCGACCACCGAGCCACGTGGCAGCAGCAGCAGCATAGAACATACAAGTATTGCAGGGTTCATCTGGCTGCCCCGACCCCCCACAGCACGGCCTTGACAAGCTTCTAGCACAGCTGCCCCACGCCATCTTCCCTATTATCTGCGCCCGGCGCCTTCAGCCCCATGAGGGAACGCTGTTGCAATGGCAACCGGCCAACATTCCCAATTTCAGCTATTTACTGTCATAGTTGCAACGAGCATTCATTCAGAATAGATAGATCATTCATTCAGCACACAGACCGGACGCCTCTTGCCCCTTGAGCCCTATATTGTTCGGTCTGTTCCTGGATGACTTCGAGTCCGGGCTGGTGCAACAGGCTGCGGCCGCGGCTCTGCCTCGCTGGCAGAGCGGGGAGTGCGTGCCGCCATTATTTTACGCTGATGACCAGGCCTTGCTGGCCACCACGCCGGCAGGCCTGCGTTTCCAGCTTGGTTACCTTGAGAGCTACTGTGCCGCCTGGGGCCTGACGGTTAACACCAAAAAGACCCAGGTGGTAGTGTACACCACTGGCAGGGCTGCTGCCACGGAGGAGCGGTTCCGCTACGGCGGCAATGAGGTGGAAACCGTCCCCACCTTCAGATACCTCGGCGTGCACCTGCACTGCCGGCAGGCCTTTGCCTTGGCGGCATCGTATCGGGCGGAGGCTGGGCGGCGCGCGATGCACCTGCTGCGTCGCCGCCTGGCCGAGAATGGGTTGCAGGCCCCCCTGCTCAGCATGCGTGCGTTCAAGTCTTGGCTTGGCAAGCAGTGGCGCACGGGGTCGCACTGGATGGCTGAGGAGACAGGCCGGTGGCAGCGGCTGGACCGCACCCAGCGCCCATGCCCCCACTGCCAGGCCCCTCTAGAGGACGTACGCCACGCAGTGTATGACTGCCCCCTATACGCTGGGCTGAGGGAGGAGTATGCTGAGCTCTTCCACAGTCCCGGCCACGCCTTGCCCTCCCTGGCCGCCTTCCTCGGCCAGGCCAGGCAGGGCCGGCTGGCCCGGTTTGCCGACCGGTGCCATGAGGAGCATGCTGCTGCCCTGGCACAGTGACTCCCCCGGTTCCCTTGAGTAGGGCCCAGGCATCTTTTGCCCGGCCTTGGCTCCCGACCCACCCCCTCCCCCCGCAGGTAAGAGCAGCGTCAGCGTCAGCAAGCAGCGGTCAGCGGCAGCCCCACCACCCCCACCTCCACCTCACA